AGGCCCACAGACAATGATTTTGGCTGTGAACCTGCTAACAGCTGTGGCCAACAACAGCACAGAGATCAGTGTGTTAGTAAACACAGATTTGACTGGTTCTGATCCCTGATCACACACCCTTAGGAGCGGAGATCAGGAAGAAAAGCCAGCCAGAAGTAAAATCAACACACATACACTTGTTAGGCACACAGTTAACCCTTTGATTGCCCTCCTGATCACAGTTAACCCTATGATTGCCCTCCTGATCACTCCTGTCACACAGCCAGTGTCATTAGCATACCTCCCAACTGTCCTTCATTTCAAGGGACTATCCCTGATTTGGAATAGAGTCCCTCTGTCCACATTTTGGTTTGATTTGTATATAAAATGAACTCTTTATTTTTCAAAAAGTGTTTCCCAGTGCTAAACCTTTCATTCAATTTCTGTAAACTCATAAGCAAGTGTTAAGGAATAGTATTAGTAAAAAACAGCACTGTTGAGTTTAATTAATCTATTTTTATGTATAATTCTCAGGGAAGCGGCACCGTTAGGGCTCGTTCACATGTAAAGTTGGGGGTAGTAAAACCCTGCAGTCACAGTTTTACTACCCCAACCCCTACCCCCCTTAGCAGCAGCCAAAGGTGTACACTTGCCACAGTAGTAATTAATCCCCCTATTGCTTTTGTTGGGTGCTACTGCCTGTCAATCATGACCCAATCAAGTAAATGGGGCCACTCAAGAGTCCAGCAACTGTATGCTTCTGCGGGGCACAAGGGGTTACAGCTGGTTGTAAGCAAGCGACACAATGCTGTCTGCTTTGTCTCCTTGTTTGCTGTACTGCACAAGGTTGCAGGGCACTTACAGAGCGGCCTCATTCATGACAGGGCGTATAACCCCTGCTGCGGCTGTGACTTGTGTACATCCCTGGCCACTCCAGCTAAAGGGGTGCAGTTGGGGCGAGGGTGGTAAAACACATCTTAAATATGCGTTTTTACTACCTCCCAAACTGCAAATGTAAATGAACCCTTACTGTTCTGATTTCCGTATAAGGTTGCTTTCACACTGATGTGCTGCAGTTTGCCTGCACTGCCGGTGCAGCGGAGTGTGTCTGTGACTTTTCTGGGTTAGCTGCGCTTTGCCATAGACTTCTATTATATCATGCAGGAGTTTTGGTGCGGTTTCAGAAAGTGCGCAAACTGCAGGATATAATAGAGGTCTATGGCAAAGCACAGCAAACCTGCAGGAGAGCTGCTGGGACACTGCACTGCACCGTGGTGTGGGTAAATCGCAGCACATCCGTGTGAAAACAGCCCTATACTATTATGCCCAGTATATTTCTTCAAACTGACCTGATGATCTCTTCTGCTGGCACCACTCTGGAGATCGCTAGCAGGGATAAGAGGTGGAGTGTAGTTGGTATCACTGCATGGGACAGGAGCCAGCAATACAGAGGAGGCATCAGCTTATGCAACTCTTGCTCCCAACTACAGCTGTAACTTTACAAGTAGTTCCTCTGCATTTACTCTGTTTGATGCTCTGGGATGGTGGGTCAGCAAGCCCAGACCGTGATCTACAAGTCACCTGGCCACGATCTATTGGTTGCTGAACCACGCCTTAAAGGATAAGTTCACCTTTCATAACATGTTACATGTTACACCCATATTCAGGGTGTAATATGTAACATGGTATAAATACACTAGCCCCCGTTTCCCCACTTTTTTTCTTCTCTCCCCCTGCTAGCTGTCAAATTTAAAAAATACGTGGCCGTGCTGGGCTCTGCCGCTTGGCTGTGTCACTCATTCACACTCCTCTGTGAATGAGAAACTACGAGTCTTGACAGCCTTCGTGGCTGTCGGCTTGTAGTTCTCAATGAACTACCGCAACACTGTGGAGAGCTGTGGTAGTTCATTTATTCTTCCTATCAGTACATCTGCTTGCTCGTATATCACTTGTGGGCAAACAGATATACTGACAAGTCTGCAGGAAGCCTGCATGGCACCAGCGATCTACTGATCACTGGTGCAATGGTTTCCAGGTTCCTGCAAGCAAAAATAATAAATGCACATTTTTTACCTGAAAAAAAAATACACTTATTATTTTTGGTAAAAAAGGTGTACTTTTCCTTTAACATTACAAAAAATAAATTAATTGCGGTCATTGGTCCACAGACCCAATTCATCATATATCTGTTTTCTCTGATGCAATGGCCAGTGAAAGGTATGAGATAATAATGTGTTTTATGCATTTCAGTGACAATAACCTTTTGTTGTCCCCAGGGTGACCCTGACTATGAACAGCTACAAAAAATTTTGTCCCTCATAATTTGCCATAATTTACAATTCCCTAGTACATTTTACTGGCAGGCTTGCAAGAAAGCAGTATCTCCTCAGCAAGCGTGCCAGATATGGGGTCAAAATGTGTATAAACTCTGTGAGAGAGCCACAGGCTGTACATACTGCTTTAGAATTTATTAGGGAAAAACCAGTCAAATGGTCCACTCCCCCCCAGATGCCCAGACTACATGGGGAGCAGTGGTAAGATAGTGTGGGACTTGTCACCCGTATGCACGCTTGCAAGCATGCCACTTTTTAGACATCTGTTCCTTCAAAAAATTGGCTGCTGTAGCACCATGCGACCTAATCATAGGGGATTCCCCCAATGGCTCGTTGACAACACACTTAGAAAGGGGTGAAAGCCTGTTTGCGGAATGAACTACTAGCAGTAAAATGGAAGGAAAACGTAATGTATTCATCTTTTCTATTCACCCAGTCCTGAAAATCCAAATTCACATGGTGTCTGGTGTTGTTAAAAAGCCTGCTTGCATTTATAAATTATAATCTAAATAAGGGAGGTGTAGACTTCAATTGCCAAATTAAGCTGTATTTAGCCTCCCACAGAGCTAGACACTGGTACTAACAAAGTGTCTATATATTTATTTCAATTGGCTCTATACAATTCATTTGTTATTTACAAAGGTACTGGAAGAACTGGATCATTCCTAAAATTTCAAGAAGAGATCATCTCATACCTTTTGTATCCAGAAGGTGCAACCACTTTAACAGTGCCAGAAAACAGGGACTCAAAGCAATATAACTGGTGGCTATAAAGGAGGCTGTTGTGGGTTGGGCCAGTTAGTTGGTACCCAATATGGAAGAATGGCAGACAGAGACCAAGTAAGGTGGCACAATTATTATTTTGATAGATTGATTCATACTCTGAATGGTCTAGGGTTGTTAGTGGTGTATCCCAAGGTTCAGTGTTGGGACCCTTACTTTTTAATATATTTATAAATGATATAGGGTCTGGGATTAAAAATACTGTTTCATTCTGTGCAGATGACACCAAGCTTTGCAGTGATATAACATAACAGGATGTCTCCAATTTATAAGCTGACCTCAATGCACTGTTTAATTGGGCAACTAGGTAAATGAGGTTTAATGTTGATAAATGTAAAGTTATGCACTTGGGGGCTAAGAATATGCATGCATCATACATACTAGGGGGAGTACAACTGGGGGAATCAATCTGGGAGTTCTGGTAGATCATAAGTTTAATAATGACATGCAATGCCAAGCTGCAGTTTCTAAAGCGAGCAAAAAATTCTCTTGTATTAAAAAAAGTATAGACCCTAGAGAGAGAGATATCATTTTACCCCTGTTCAAATCATTAATAAGACCTCATCTGGAATATGCAGTTCAGTTTTGGGCACCAATTCACAAAAAGAACATTGAGGAACTGGAGACAGTGCAAAGAAGGGCAACCAAACTGAAAAGAGGAATGGAGGAGCTAAGCTATGAGGAAAGATTAGAGGAACTGAATTTATTCTCTTGAGAAGAGGATATTAATGGCATAAATACATAAGTGGTTCATATAGTGAACTTGGTGTAGAGTTATTCACCCTGAGGTCATCACAGAGGACAAGGGGGCACTCTTTACGTCTGAAGGAAAAGAAATTTAATCTCCAAACATGGAAAGGTTTCTTCACAGTGAGAGTTGTGAAAATGTGGAATAGACTCCCTCAAGACTTGGTTCTGGCCAGCTCAGTGGATTGCTTTAAAAAAGGCCTGGATTCTTTCCTACATACACAGAATATAACTGGATACTAACATTTATATGTAAAGTTGATCCAGGGAATATCAAATTGCCTCTCGGGGGATCAGGAAGAAATTTTTTCCCGTGCAGGAGCAAACTGCACTATGCTTTGCTGGGGTTTTTTTGCCTTCCTCTGGGTCAATTTTTTTTTTTTATGGTTGAACTGGATGGCCTTAGGTCTTTTTTCAGCCAGGCTAACTATGTAAGATGAAGGCAGCAAATAACACTTGAAGAACAGCAGCAAAGTAACAGTTTCAACACTATGGTGTAGCAATACAGTCAACACAGGTGTAGAATTTCTCAGCAATGTTAGGGGCACATTGCAGTAGTTCAAGATGCAGGCTTCTCTTTAGTAAGGCTTATGCTACCAGAGCAACATTTGAGAAGAGGTAGGCTCTAAGCAAAGTAGCGGTACTTAAAGAACAAATCCAGATCTTGTCACAGCGCCAGTCCAGGAGATAGCAGAGTCGGCATAAAATTCCTAGTCTGTCCCTCCTCGTCAGAAACCTCTCCCTAGGGCTAAATAATCTGTCCGTATCCAGCAAGGAACCTGTCCCTACTCTATACACTTCGCATCTGTGCACCAACTGCAGTGGGGCACTGTTATTTATTAGCTTTGCCTTCACTAAAGATGTCTACTGAGGTTATCCACTGTTGCATTGTTCAATCAGACCACTGCTCCCTTGATGACACCTAAGATAGCTGCAGAGGACAGCGTCAGCAACCCAGTGCCACCTACACAGGGGAGGGTAAACTACACCTACCTACACGCTAAAGGGAAGATTTTAACAAGAGCCAGTAGCCTGTAGGGAATGAGATACATACATACGCTATATTGCCAAAAGTATTGGGACACCTCTCCAAATCATTGGATTCAGGTGTTCCAATCACCTCCATGGCCACGGGTGTATAAAATGAAGCACCTAAGCATGCAGACTGCTTCTACAAACATTTGTGAAAGAATGGGTCACTCTCAGGAGCTCAGTGAATTCAAGTGTGGTACCACGATAAGTTGCCACCTGTGCAATAAATCCATCCGTGAAATTTCCTTGCTACTAAATATTCTACGGTCAACTGTTAGTGATATTATAACAAAGTGGAAGCAACTGGGAACAACGGCAACTCAGCCACCAAATGGTAGGCGACATAAAATGACAGAACAGGGTTAGCACATGCTGAAGTGTGCAGAAGTGACCAACTGTCTGCAGAGTCAATAGGTAAAGGTCTCCAAACTTTGTGTGACCTTCAGATTAGCACCACAACAGTGCGTAGAAAGCTTCATGGAAGAGATTTCCATGGCCGAGCAGCTGCATCCAAGCCTTACATCAACGAGTGCAATGCAAATGCAAAGCATTGGATGCAGTGGTGTAAAGCACACCACCACTGGACTGTAGAGTAGTGGAGACGTGTTCTCTGGAGTGACAAATCACGCTTCTCTGTCTGGCAATCCATTTTTCAGGGTTTGAGCTTGGCCCCTTAGTTCCAGTGAAGGGAACTCTTAAGGCATCAGCATACCAAGACATTTTGGACAATTTCATGCTCCTAGCTTTGTGGGAACAGTTTGGGGATCGCCCCTTCCTGTTCTGACATGACTACTACCAGTGTACAAAGCATAGTCCATAAAGACATGGATAAGCGAGTTTGGGGTGGAGGAACTTGATTGGCCTGACCTCAACCAGATAGAACACCTTTGGAATGAATTAGAGTGGAGACAATGATCCAGGCCTTTTCATCCGACATCAGTGCCTGACCTCACAAATGCGCTTCTAGAACAATGGTCAAACATTTCCATAGACACACTTCTAAACCTTGTGGTGGACAGCCTTCCCAGAAGAGTTGAAGCTGCTATAGCTTCAAAGGGTGGACCAACTCAATATTGAACCCTGCAGACTAAGACTTGGATGCCATTAAAGTTTCCCATGCGTGTAAAGGCAGGATTCTCAATACTTTTGGCAATATAGTGTATATACATAACTGATGTGTTCGGTGATGTATCCCCCAAAAAATAGATTTGATTGTAGGCTGTAACGAGCAGGGCCCACTTATTCTTCCTGTATTCAATTGTATTGTAACTGTACTGTTTGCCCTCAAATTGTAAAGTGCAGCGCAAAATTGTTGGCGCTATGTAAATCCTATATAATAATAATAGCAATTTTTTTTAACATAATTTACAAATATAAGTAACATATCTACTAAGATTATGGGGATGAACTTAAAGAATGTCCCAAGTGTCACTTACCTTGAGTGATGGAGTTGGCCATGCATTTCCTTTCTGTTTATCGGTGCTAGTGGCCATGCATATTTTCACCTGCCCCCACAAAAATGAGTTGCCCATTTGTTGTGGTTTATTAGTTGTAACAGGAAAATCATTCAGCTGTAAATTCAAGCAATGCTCCTGAATGAGTGGGTTTAGGAAAGAACTCTTGAGAAGAATGTTGTGTTTTCTGTTAGAAGAGATGCTTGGATATCTACAGGTGAAACTCGAAAAATTTGAATATCGTGCAAAAGTTCATTTATTTCAGTAATGCAACTTAAAAGGTGAAACTTAAATATGAGATAGACTCATTACATACAAAGTAAGATAGTTCAAGCTGTGTTTTGTCATAATTGTGATGATTATGGCTTACAGTTCATGAAAACCCCAAATCCACAATCTCAGAAAATTAGAATATTGTGAAAAGGTGCAATATTCTAGGCTCAAAGTGCCCCTCTCTAATCAGCTAATTAGGCCATAACACCTGCAAACGGTTCCTGAGCCTTTAAATGGTCTCTCAGTCTGGTTCAGTAGGAATCGCAATCATGGGAAAGACTGCTGACCTGACAGTTGTGTGCAGAAAACCATCATTGACACCCACCATAAGGAGAGAAAGCCTCAAAAGGGAATTGCAACAGAAGTTGGATGTTCCCAAAGTGCTGTATCAAAGCACATTAATAGAAAGTTATGTGGAAGTGAAAAGTGTGGAAGAAAAAGGTGCACAAGCAGCAGGGATGACCGCAGCCTGGAGAGGATTGTCAGAGTGGACTGAGGCTGGAGTCAGTGCATCAAGAGCCACCACACACAGATGGATCCTGGACATGGGCTTCAAATGTTGTATTCCTCTTGTCAAGCTACTCCTGAACAACAAACAACTTACCTGGCTAAAGAAAAACAGACCTGGTCTGTTGCTCAGTGGTCCAAAGTCCTCTTTTCTGATGAGAGCAACTTTTACATCTCATTTGGAAACCAAGGACCCAGAGTATGGAGGAAGAATGGAGAGGCACACACTTCTAGATGCTTGAAGTCCAGTGTGAAGTTTCCTTAGTCTGTGTTGATTTGGGGAGCCATGTCATCTGCTGGTGTTGGTCCACTGTGCTTCATTAACCTCCCTGGCGGTATGATTATTTCAGATTTTTGGTGCTGAAAGCGGTACAATCATTTTGCATGGAAATATGTAGTTTTTTTATTGTAGGCCTGTAATTTTTAGGAATAACTCACTGAAATCTGTCCGAACAAGAGTCTAGTAAACATTCCGGATATGATAAAACTTGAAACACGAAATCATAAATTATAATTTAATAAATAATCATAAAAAAAATAATATAATAATACATTTAATTCAATAATATAATCAAACCAAAAACACTGAAATTTGAAATATAGTGCCAAGTTCGCACATCGCTGAGCAAAGTCGCAAAATCGTTTTCAGTGTCTGATGACGAATTTCCCCACAAATCATTACCACTCAATTCTGCAAGTAGTTCTGATTTACTATCGCTGTTCTCTAGCCAGTCTAAAATCGCTGTTGACCTAACAGGACGCTTTTTGGATGCCATGGACTTTTCTAAGTTTCCAGGCAGAAAGAACAGTCAAAAGGCAGGCAGGCAGGGCACAGGCCAAAGCACTAGGGACAAAATGTATGTGAAATGCTTTGAAACAGCAATGTTTTGCTATGTAATGTTTGTTTCCAAAAAAATGACAGTTTTTAACATTTTTAAATTTGCCGCCGGTTCCGGCCCCGTACGTCCCGACGTCACAGGGACCGGAACACAGAAGCCGGATGCCGGCATCAGCCGGTGGAGATGGCCGGGGATGCTGCAGGAGGGACATCGCAGGAACAAAGGACAAGGTAAGCCCTGCAGGGAATCCCTGAGCAACGCCACATGGTAAGCCCGAGTGTAGCTCGGGGTTACCGCTTTTAGTACTGAAACTTTACCTGGAGCTACACTCGGGAATACCACCAAGGAGGTTAAGTCCAGGGTCAACGCAGCCGTCTACCAGGAGATTTTGGAGCACTTCATGCTTCCTTCCGCAGACGAGCTTTATGGGGATGCTGACTTCATTTTCCAGCAGGACTTGGCACCTGTCCACACTGCCAAAAGCACCAAAACCTGGTTCAATGACCATGGGATTACTGTGCTTGATTGGCCAGCAAACTCGCCTGACCTGAACCTCATAGATAATCTATGGGGCATTGCCAAGAGAAAGATGAGAGACATGAGACCGAACAATGCAGAAGAGCTGAAGGCCGCTATTGAAGCATCCTGGTCTTCCATAACACCTCAGCAGTGCCACAGGCTGATAGCTTCCATGCCAGGCCGCATTGAGGCAGTAATTGCTGCAAAAGGGGCCCAAACCAAGTACTGAGTACATATGCATGCCTATACTTTTCAGAGGTCCGATATTGTTCTATGTACAATCCTTGTTTTATTGATTGCATGTAATATTCTAATTTTCTGAGATTGTGGATTTGGGGTTTTCATGAGCTGTAAGCCATAATCATCACAATTATGACAAATCACAGCTTGAACTATCTTGCTTTGCATGTAATGAGTATCTCATATATTAGTTTCACCTTTTAAGTTGCATTACTTAAATAAATGAACTTTTGCATGATATTCACCTGTATATGTAGCAGCAATGAGGTGGATTTACTAAAAGCAAATAGACTGTGCAAGCGCAGTTGCACTCATTTTCCTCAAATCTTAGTAAATGAGGTAAAGCTCTGCTGCTTTCCATCTTCCAATCATGCAAGCCAAAATGCTTTATTTTTTTTGCATCTGATTGAGTATTCATTACAAAACTAACCTTTATCACATTTACTAAGGAAAATTAGTGCAATTGCACTTGCAAAGTGCACAGTATATTTGCCTTAAGTAAATCATTTTTGAAAATCGTAAAGCTACTAATAATGTTATCTTCTAAACCATGCAAGCATTTTTTGTTGTCTGTACTCACCTTACCTTAATGCACTGGAGCCAGTAGATTATCTATTCTTTACTCTTAACTGACTTATGGACATTTGTTGCAGTTTTTCTATATTAGTGCGTTTTCTGTTGTCATTGTGAGTGCACATTGTGAGCATGGCACCCCATCACATTGTACAGCACCACAGCACACTAAAACAGATATACCATGCATTGCGGTGTGCTGCATTTTTTTAGATACTCTAAAGGGTAGCCTCAAAAGATAGTGTAGCGGGTCTAGGGGAAGGGTGACATTAAGTACTTGCTCCAAGACCATTTTAACCGTAGCCCAATAACCCGCAATCTGTGGACAAAACCAAAAGATGTGTGCCAAGGTGCTCACTCCTTCCATGCACCTCCAGCACCTGTCAGACAGATTTGGGTTAATCGTATGAAGCACTACAGGGGTCTTGTAACAATGCATCAATATTTTATATACATTTTATTTATACACAACATAACGAGAGGCCTTAGTAACAGAGTCTCAAATCATCTGCCAACGTTTCAAAGAGACTGGGCATTGAAGTACGTCTTCCCATAACGGTGAGGATTATCAACAAGAGAACCTTTATTGAGGAGTAGCTGATATAAACTGCTAATAAGATGTTGTTGGGAGGGAGGCCTTTAGCAGCTATCCTCTCGAAATCGTGAAGAGCATATAGGAGCATATAGTACAGAGGACAACACCTGAATAGGGAAACCTTTTTTAATAAGAATAGCGACACCTGCTTTACCAGTGCCATCCATAGCGGAATAGGCTATAGCAAAATACTTGAGGGCAAAGTTAAATGAGCTTCCCTTTTTGAAATGTGTTTCCTGAATAAGAATAATATCGACTTTAGACTGATGGAATTCCCTTAGAGCTATCAACCTCTTCCTCATTGAATTTAAACCCTTATCATTACAAGAGTATGGTCGTAAAGACATGTTGGTGTGTTCTGAATATGAAGCAATTGTATGAAGGACAATATGACAAATAAACTATGCTGTTCTAACAAAGAATAGCACAAAAAACATTGACTAAAAAAACGCATCCAGTGCGTCGCAAAAATGCTAGTAGACACAGAATAAACAATTCCAAAAAAAAATTTGCAGACATAGTAGGATACCAAAATATTCGGGAGGCCTGAGCAACAAAGGCTGCCCAGGTATCTACAGCAATAGCTGTAGA